AGTAGAGACGGGGTTTCACCATGTTGACCAGGATGGTCTCGATCTCTTGACCTCGTGATCCACCTGCCTCGGCCTCCCAAAGTGCTGGGATTACAGGCTTGAGCCACCGCGCCTGGCCGCAGCTGCCTTTTTATCAGGGCTGCCCTGCCCCGCGAGGAGGCAGCCTAGTCACTGTCTGCCTGCAGAGGCTTTGCTGAGCTCTTGTGGGCTCTGCCACGCTGCTGTGTGAACTTCCCTGCAGTCCTGTTTATATGGGTGTAGTTAGAGCTGCCTCAGGAAAGCCAGCCCACCTCTGTAATGGCAGGCTCTCTCTGTAGTGGCGGGTTGCCTTGGCAACGGCGGGCTACCTTACCAATTACGAAGTACCTCCCCAGTGGTGGAGTGCCTCGGCAATGGCGGACGCCCCTCCCCCACAGAGCTGGACTTTCCTGGGTTCAGTTGTGCTTGCTGTGAAACTCTCAACCCAGTGCGTTTCCAATTCCTCTTTTTTGTGGGGGTGGGACCAGCCGAGCCTGATCACCTGGCTCCCTGCCTCGGAGCCTTTTTTTTTAGTTGAACGGTCAACTCTTTCCCAGGTGTTCCAGTCGCCTGTTGAAAAGGTGCCATGATCTGTGTGATTTCCTGTGCCACGACCCACTGCACCGGCTGAAACAGCAGCGCTCAGATTCTGCGTTTTTGTTTTTGTTTTTTTTTGCCCAGGAATCTCCTAGCCTGGCTCCCTGTTTCAGTCCCCTTTTTAATCAGATGAATGGGCAACTCTGCCTTCTTGGAGCCCCAGTTGCCAGCTAAAATGGTGCCCGGATCCGTGTATTTTGTACGGAGAACTGCCGCCAGTGGGCGACGGCCAAACCAGCCAGGCTGGCGACCCGTGGGTCTCCTCCACCTGGGAATCTCTGGTCTATGGGTAATAAAAATCCATCTGGAAATGCAGCGTCCACTCCCCCTCTGTGCTTTCACTGGGAGCTGCAATCCTGAGCTGCTCCCAATCGGCCATCTTGGATCCTCCTTCCTTAAATTTCTTTCTTAATTTTTTCATTGACACATTGGTCATTAAGAAGCATGTTGTGTAATTTCTATGTATTTATACAGTTTCAAAAGTTTCTCTTGTTATTGATTTCTAGTTTTTATTGCAGTCAGAAAAGATAATTGATAATGATTTCAATTTTTGAAAGTTTGTTGAGACTTGTTTTGTGGCCTAACACTTGATCAATCCTAGAGAATGTCCCATGTGCTGATGTGTTTCCTGTAGCTGTTGGATGAAATGCTCTGTAAATGTCTGTTAGGTCCATTTGGTCTATAATGCAGTTTAAATTTAGTATTTCTTTGCTGATTTTCTGTCTAAATGGTCTATCTAATGCCAAGAGTAGAATGTTGAAATGCCCCACTGTTATTGTATTGGAGCCTAACTCTCCTTTTAGATCTAATAATATTTGGTTTATATATCTGGGTGCTCCAATGTTAAGTGCATATATATTTACAATTATTATAACCTCTTACTGAATTGATCCTTTTATTATTATACAATGAACTTCTTTGTCTTTTTTTACTGTTTTTGATTTAAAGCCTATTTTATCTGATATAAGTATAGCTACTCCTGCTTGTTTTTGGTTTGCATTTGCATGGAACATCTTTTTCCATTCCTTTCAGTTTTAGTCTATGTGTGTCTTTACAGGTGAAGTGAGTTTATTATAGGCATCATATGGGTCTTGTTTTTCTTATCCATTCAGCCAATCTACATCTAAATTGAGAAATTTAATCTATTTACTTTCAAGGTTATTATTGATAAATGAGGACTTTCTCCTGTTATTTTGCTAATTGTTTTCTGGTTGTTTTGTTTATCCTTTGTTCCTTTGTTCCTCTCTTCTTGTTTATCTTTACAGTTTGGTGGTCTTCTGCAGTGATATGGCTTGATTCCTTTCTTTCTCCTTTCTGTATGTGCAGTACTAGTGGTTTTACACTTCTGCATGTTTTCATCATAATAGTTATCTTACTCTCACTTTCAGTTGTAGGACTCCCTTAGGTATTTCTTGCAAGGCTGGTCTAATTCTGGATATAGTGTTCTTGCCTGACAGGTTATTTTTTTTCCCCAGCACTTTGAATATATCATCTCATTCTCTTCCAGCCTGTAAGGTTACTGCTGAGAAATCTGTTGTTAGTCTAATGAAGATTCCCTTATATGTAACTTTATGCTTTTCTCTTGCTGTTTTTAAATTTTTCTCTTTGTCTTTTGACATTTGGGCTATAATGTACCTTTGAGAGAACATTTTTTGGATTGAATCTATTTGAGAACCTTTGAGTTTCCTGGATCAGGATATCCATATTTTTCCCAATAATTGGGAATTTTTAAGCTATTATGTCATCAAATAGAATTTTCTACCCCTTTTCCCCTCTCTTGTCTTTCTAAAACTTCCATAATGCAAATATTTGTTTGCTTTATGGTGTTCCGCAAGTCCCATGGGCTTGTTTCATTCTTTTTTATTCTTTTTTTTTTGTATGCCTTATTTATTTCAAAAGATCTGTCTTCAAGTTCAGAAATTCTTCTGCTTGATCTCGTCTGTTGAAGCTCTCAATTGTGTTTTTTATTTCATTAATTGAATTCTTCTGCATTAAAATTTGTTTTTTAAATAATATTTCTCTGTTGAATTTCTCATCAGATCATGAATTGTTTTCCTGATTTTATTGAATTATCTATCTTTATTTTTCTGTATCTTGCTGGGTTTCCTCAAGATCATAATTTTTATTTTTTTATACCATTTCATAAATTTCCTTTTCTTTGAACTCTCTTACTAGAGAATTATTGTGTTCCTTTGGAAGTATCATGTTTCCTTACCTTTTCATGTTTCTTGTGTCCCTGCACTACATATGCACATCTGGTGGAACAGGTACCTCTTCCAATTTACGGAGCAGCTTTGATAGGAAAAGACCTTTTTCTGGAAATGAATCCTAAGGTGTTGGTTGGGTGGGGTACATTGGCTGTGGTTCTAGGCAGACACAGTTATTATAGTCTCTGTGCAGTTTCTTGAGCTGTAATCCACATAATTGATGTTTGTGAGTGCCTCAATGGCCTAGGCTGTAGGAGTTTGTGAGTGTGGTGGGTAGCTTTGCTGGGAGTGGGCTCCTGAACAGGCTGATTCCCAGGTCTAGGGTGTACACATGCATGAGGAGACAAGTCTGGCTACCAGGCTGTTTTTCTAGCCAAGGTCATAGGCACATGGCAGGTCAGCTGGCTCAGGGACTGTTTTGCCCACCAGGGGCAGGGCTGCTGGGCTGTTTCTCTGCCTGAAGGTGTGGTACTTGGGAAGTGGTTTGCCAGGGGTGGGGCCACTGGGCTGTTTCTCTGACCAGGGACATGGGCGCATGGCAATTTGGCAGTCCGCAGCAGGTTGTTTATTAGTTGTTTTTTTCCTTTTTTGCAGGGAAGACAAGCACCAGCACCTCTAGTCAGCTATCGTGCTCTATGTTGATTCCTTTTTTTTCTTTTTGTCAGTTAACATTCCAAACATGTATAACCAATGAACATGGCCTAGGGTTTTTTTTTTTTTTTAATTGGTATTCACTTCAGTAACTTGAATCCACAGATGTAAGCAGTGTATAAGCAGAAAGTTACAAGTAAACATAGATTATACATGAAAATTTCTGTTCACAAAGGTCACATGTACAGGTACATGAATTAGAAGCATGCATCTAGGATTATGGCCAAACTGTTTTTAAGATGCAGAAATGTAAAATTACACCTCGAAAACATGAAGAGATGGTCTACACACTTAAAAATCAAATGTTGCTTATACCAGAGATGTATGACAATTACAAGATTCAAGTGACTATAATGGAATGGTGATTGATAGGTATTTTGGGATTTTCTATACTATTTTTGCAACTCTTCTGTAAATCTAAATTATCTCAAAATTTAAAAAATATGTGGTTTTTAAAAAAGCTTATGGAGTCTTAATGAACTGTATGTGTCTTATGAACAGGAACACATAGATTAGTAATTAGGCTGTCACAAACTTACCCTAGGTGGATAGCCATGGAGAGGATACTGTTAGGAACACTGCTTTAGTGAAGAGGCTGTTACTTTGCCTTCACTTGAAATCACATTGCTGAAATCTGTTTCTGCTGCTGGATTGATTTCAGGTGTTTTTGGTTTTAAGCATTATGTCTTTATTGGTGATAGGTTAGTACATGTGGATGTTGCAAGGATGTATTTCTGATTAATTCCATGGCCGTACCATTGTAAAAGCTGCTGACCTTTTTTCTTTTTATTCCCAGGGTCGTTATGGTTGCTGTCGCTTTCTACGAGATGGATATAAAACTCCGAAAGAGGTAGGTTTCTTTTCTTCAAAATGAACCCAAGGCAGAATGGCCACTTGTATCTGCAGCCTCATTCAGAGAAAGTATTTACCTCACTGATGGTACTTATAGAGATCACTGAATAGGATAACAATAACTGATGTTTGCTATATATGTTGAACTTAGCTTAGCTGCCAAGTTCTCATTTTGTAGGCTTTTCTGGATTAAGTAAAATAGAGAAAGGTGTAGTCCGTCCACCTCTTGCAGTTGGTTAATTTCAGAAAGAACTGATAAATGGTAAAATCAGTGGATGAAAGCTTACACAGAAATAGTATTTGCATTGTCTCAAAGTATCTCTCCCAAAATATTTAACAATTACAAAGGGAAAAATCTTTCCATCAGTAGATCATTCTGGCCCCACATCCACCTCTTGCAGTTGGTTAGTTCTAAGCAGTACTTGATTTTGAAAAGGTAACTTCCTTTTATTCAACTAGTCAAAAGTTCACCTTGGAAATATTAATGAGAAAAATTCAGTATTTTTAAAGGGATTGAACATCAATATGAAGCACTTTCACTGGTAATGGAAACATTGTTTAAGTCTTCAATTTGGTGGTTGAGAACCATTATGGATTTTTTAAATCATCGAACTCAAACTCTTCTGGTCTACTTCCTCTCTTCCACTTTATTTTTTAGCCTTGAATTTGATTTCTTCCCCTATCAGTGTACTAAAATTATATGTTCTGAAACATCATCTTAAGCTCTTAAATGACCAAGGCTTTGAATCCTTATTCTCCTTCACTTCTCTATAGTACATCATTTTTTATCTAGCCCTAAATTCTCTTGAAATTCTATTCCTATTTTAATTTTCCCACTACACTATCCTGATTCTTCTCTTTCTGTTCTTCTTTTGCCCCATTCTGAGGGTTTACCAAGTTTCCATCCCTGAGCAGTTTGTTCATTTTATATAGTACTGTTTCACAAAGTTCATCTGTAACTTGTAATTCATATATCACCTCTATGAAGATGATTCCCAAACCTTCGTCTCTAGTTCCCTTCTAAACATTTCTATTTGTGTGTCCTACTACTACATCAACCTTAACAAATATAAAACCAGACTCAACTTTATTGCAAACCAGTCTTATTTCTTCATATACACTCTTGTGATACCATTCCTATCCCAAGTCCACTAGTTAGAAGTCACATCATAGAGTACTTGCTAAGGGAAGGGAGTATGCACATGCTCTGCCTTCCTGAACACCTTCTCTAAAACAAACTATCAGTAATGAAAGCCCATATTATAATACCTCTGAACTAAAATTTATATCTAACCTCTGAAAGATGACAGACTTTATTGTGTTTTCACTAGGATCCCAATCGTCTGTACTATGAACCAGCTGAGCTGAAGCTATTTGAAAACATTGAATGTGAATGGCCATTATTCTGGACATACTTTATTCTTGATGGGGTCTTCAGTGGCAATGCAGAACAGGTAATAAGCTGGGGAAAGAGTTTTCAGCAGAATGTTCTCATTATATCTTCTTACAGTTAGTAGCGTACCAACTCTGTGTCCAGATGGAAGTCTTCCTAATAGGGGAGAGACAGTTGTTTCTCTACAGGATAGTAGCTGAGGGCACTAAAAGACCTGAATTCTTTTTTCTTTTTTTAAAAAAGATCTTGGTTTCACTCTTGACTGCTGAGTGCCCAACTATTGTCATTGACTTCTTCAGTTTCTCTGTACATAACGAAAATAATTTTTCTCCATTCATTAAAAAATATATTCTTAAAAGTCTTTGAATTTCACAGATAAAGACATATTGTAAATGAGACATATAGTCAGTTCTGCTATAATGATACATAAACAATCTTTTCTTGTTGTTGTTTTTGAGACAAGGTCACTCACTGTTACCCAGACTGGAGTGCAGTGGCATGATCATGGCTCACTGCAGCTTTGATATCCTGGGCTCAAGCAATCCTCCCACCTCAGCCCCCTAAGTAGCTGAGACTATAGGCACATGCTACCACACCCAGCTATTTTTGTTTGTTTGTTTGTTTGTTTGTAGAGATGGGCCTCACTGTGTTGCCCAGGCTGGTCTCAAACTCCTGGGCTCAAGCTATCCTCCTGCCTCAACTTCTCAAAGTGCTGAGATTACAGGGATGAGCCACCACACCTAGGCCATGTGCCTTCTTTAAAAAATCACCATGCTGGCCAGGTGCGATGGCTCACACCGATAATCCCATCACTTTGGAAGGCCCAGGTGGGTGGATCACCTGCGGTTGGGAGTTCAAGACCAGCGTGGCCAACATGGTGAAACCCCATCTCTACTAATAGGACAAAATTAGCCAGGTGTGGTGGCACAC